TTTGGAGATAGTTGGTTATTCTGATTCGGACTATGCAGGCTGTTCGAGTATTAGAAAATCCACTTCTGGATATATTTTTTATGTTAGCTCAGGGAGCAGTATTATGGAAAAGCTCTAAGCAATCCATTATCGCAGATTCAACTATGTATGCAGAGTTGATCAGTTGTTATGAAGCGACTAAACGTGCTATGTGGTTAAAATAGTTTATTACGGATTTAAAGGTTGTGGACTCCATACACAAGCCTTTGATAATTTTCTGTGATAATGAAGCTGTCACAAAATATGTGAAAAATGAAAAATTGACCAAGCATAATATGCACATAGATGTAAAGTACCTTTACGTGTGCGAGAAAGTTAAACAAGGTATTATTGAGGTTCCTCAGCCAAAAATATTTAAAGAACACGTGATTCGGATGGGTATTCAAGAGTCATTGTATTATGATATTTGATTTCTCTATTATATCATATTACATAGCAGTTGTTTCTTTCAGTTTATTTATACCTTATGGTGATAGTTATTTGCATGAAAAATAAAGTTATGATGCATCATTATTATTATTATTATTACATTGTTGTATATGATATGTGCACGTGTTATTCTTGTTGCCTGAGAGTGGTATTGCACTCATGAAATTGTTTGGGCTAGATGTGAAATTGGCACTACATTGGTAAATCCAAACATAACTACTAAAGTTTGCCTGTGAGAGTGTTAACGCTCTATGAGAATAGCTTGGGCTAGATATTAGATTGACTCCATATCGGTAAACCCTTACATTGAACAGAAGGTTGGCGGTTTGCTGTAATATGTTCAGGTGACATACCGCGATGGTATGAAGCAGGAAGGATAGTGAGGTGTGCGTTTAAACCACATGCAGTTTGCATATCTCATGAAATACCGTAAAACCACCATATTTGCTTGAATCCTAGATGGAATCGGTTTTGAGACCATAGAACTGTTTAGACTAATATATTACTTGTCTACGCATTCATGATCCACTATTGAGGAAATTTATGGAGGAGAGTGTTCTAGAATTTCAATCCATCAATTTCGATAATTGTGTTTTTTAAATAAAAATGAGTGGCCACTCGACTTTTATAAAGTGTGTTACAATCCATAGTGTCATTTTATAAAACTTAGAGTGTATGAACCAAGTGGGAGATTGTTGGAATTTTATATATATATATATATTTAAACAATAAAAATTATTTTATGGTCCTACGCACTATGTTTTCTAAAATAGGATTGTAATGTGATTATTGATACTTGATGGATTGGGTTTGTACTTTCCAATTTGGTGGTCTAATTGGGAGTATGGTTTTATACCGTTGGATTGTGGTTCTCCAACTTATTTGATGTGATTTATTTCTAACCATTGATATCTAAATTTCCATGATAAGAAGGGAGGCTTAGGTATGCTTGTTTTGTAGAGAAGCCGTCCCCCTTGTTATTATATATGGGGGTTTTAAAACCCTTATTCAATCCTATCGTATCGATAACTTTCAGAAGGGGGTAAAACGCTCTAATTTTTCAGATATGTCAAAGGGCACTAAGAAATTCTTAAAAGGTATCAAAAGTTTAATCTTCTAATCAGGTACAATATCTAAATTACTCTTTAATTAATTACAACTTGATTTCTACATGATTTTTTATTTGAAATAAAACCCAACAGATTGGCCTAGTTTTGTCGTCGATTGCAGTGACGGAAGGTTCCAAGAACGGGAACTCATCGACATTAGATGATTTCAAATTAGAGCTTTGGGTTCAGTGAGTATAAATATATTGCTCTCTGTATTTGGCTCACTGTATGTGTGTGTATACATATATAGCTCTGTGTATATAACCCATTGTATTTGTATATGTGTATATATACATATATATCAGATAGCTACAAGGCTTTCCTATTGGGTCTCGGTTGGAGCAGCAAGAAGCTTCGATTGAGTCATTATCTCGGTCTCGGATTGGATATGATCTTCAATGGAGTTTCAGTTTGGTTCAAGCAGCTTCGGTGTCTGCTTCAATGGAAGTTACTGCTCGGAGCTTGCCCGTCAATGTAACCCAACAATCTGAGCTTCGCTGGAATCAATGGAGGAATCAGCGTAGTTAGGTCTTCAACAATTATTAAGCTGCAAATCAATCAATACATATAAAAATTAACACATGCCACTAAGAAATTCATGTAAATCTTTGAATATCAACATTTGAAGTATCATTAAACCAAACAAATAAAAACATTTGAAGTATCAACCTTACAAAAAAAATAAAAAATAAAAACATTTGAAGTATCGTTTTATGACAATACTGTAAAACGATTATTTTCAAATGCTGAATTAGCAAATGCACAAGCTACAACCTGCATTTATTAAGGATTTGATGAAATTAATATATATATATTTTGATAAAAATTTTATTTCCAAAAAAATAATATAATTAAAAATAAAGCAACATAAAGAAATAAAAATTACGTAAAAGACGAAAAAGAATAAAAATTAATTAATAGAAAATCCACGTATAAGCAACAATTGACTTGGTCAGCATGAGATGACATGTATGATATGGCCCCACCACTCAAATTCAATTGTTTGGTTATTAAAGAAGGGTGATCTCTTGCATCTTGTACCGTGTAATTATTGTAGCTTTGGGGGGAGGGGGGGGGGGGGCATGAAACTATAAGGGTAATAGAGTCTTTACACTTAGTTGATGGGCATTTTAGACTTTTCAACTAATTTTTCTGACAAAAAGTACTAATTTTTGTAAGGAGGGGAGGTCTTTGTAAAATTTATCAAACCTTAGGGGAACATGTTGTAAAAAAAAAAAAACAAACCTCAAATTTACTTGCAATTTCAGGAAAGGTCGCTATAGTTTGTCCTTTTTTTTTGGCAGTTAAAGATGAATATATATATATATATGAAATAGAATGTACAATCAAATCCCAAGCTCGGACCCAGTCCACGAAAAGTAGACGGGGCCCAGCAACACATCAAACAAAAAACCCAATCACCAAACACGGCCCAACCCCACAGCAAAGACATTTCTAGTCTAGGGCATTCTAGACTAGCCATGTCTAAGCCTATATTCATTCCGGTGAGAAGCAAGTTAGGGCAAAGCACAACCCTAACTGAAACTATCTGGTGGCTCCGGTGGTTCAGCCCAAAAAGTTCTTACAGTGTTTTCTGTGAGTGGGGAAGGTTTTCGTATGAAGCCCATTAAAAATTAAGGCCCCTCCCACCCAGTGGACCATTTTTGAAGTAGAGCCCAATTATGCATTTACTATTGAACGCCCAAGCATGAGGATAAGTCCGGCGACGTGTTTTTTGATTGAGGTCAAGAATATCTTCTAATATCCAATTTAAAATCAGCAAATTTATATGCTTAGTAATTATTACAAGTAATCATTCACTCGATTGTGTGTTTCCGAATCTAATCATCATTTCTCCTCTTAATTTACTAATTTATTATACTCCATATCTTTTGATTTCTCTAAAATATTAAACTAATTTAAAAAGAGGTTCGAGGACACATGATATTCTTTTTATGGTGGTCCTGCAAATCACAACTCCCACAATTAACAAAAATGAATAAATTTCCATCCAAGCAACCATAAAGTTTTCATGTCACATGAAGTCTAATCATAATAATATTACCCCCTTCAACAAAATCTCCTACTGTTTGAGAAATTTTAATTTTATTTTTTTCGAGCCTACGAGAAAAATTTTAATAGTTCAAAATAGTGATGACATAATATTATTTAATAAAATTAAACATTGATTTGTAGTAATAGAATTCATTGAGAAAAAAGTTATATTAATAATAATGTGATGAGATATAATCGATTGATGTCATAATACTTGAGTGAAATTAAAAATAAAAATAAAAAAGATTTTAAAAATCACAAAATATATAAACAGGAGTTATGTTAGCCTAATCAAAGAAAGCTCAACTTCAATGATACATCTTTTGTCAATGTTGCAGGTGCATATATATATGCCTCGTTCTCATGCCTAGCATATATATATACATATATATCTTCTCCCAGTGAGTGTGTTTGTGTGTGTAAAAAGTGGTGGCCCGGGACAGCTCTAGCTGTGTAATCCTGCCATCTATTCGACCAAAAAAAAGGGTAGCTAGGTTCATACTTAGCTTATATTTCTGGTCTAAATTTAAAGGTAGAAAAGGGAAGGGCCTGATGCATGCTTGTCTATATGATTCCAGCCAACAAGTTTATATTGGTTAGCATGTGTTCACTCTCATTTAAATCTCAGGGGGCTCTCTCCAATCAAAATCTACTTATATCATCTATACACACTTATAATGCCAATGGGGTCCGTTTGCTTCATCCATTTATATATATATACATATACATATACAATGATCGATCTATACACATATATTTAAATCCAAAGGTAGTTTTGATTATTCTTTCCAACTGTAATCATATCTCATCTGTCCAATGTCTTTATGATTTGTGCAACTTGTTACTTCTTGGTGGGAGGACACAGATATGGTAGATGTACACCCAAGCTAGTGATTGCATTATATATATATATATATATATAAGGACTAATAAATTAATTAAGTTAATCCCTACACATGCATGTATGGGTCAGGTGAATGATGCCGCAAGGCGGTTTTGTTCCCGTGCTTTTGTAGTCCATCAATTCATCAAGTATATATATAATATTTTACCTAAAAAAAGTATATATATAATATATACAGCACAAATATAAACTGCTTTCTAGATGGGTATGGACCATATGTTTGGTAACAAACATTATAACTAACGAGCTAGCAGCTAGGATATATAAGATGATGGTGATTAAGCTAGCATAGCATGTCGTCTATTTATAGTACTATATTTGCATGTGGAGGGTCATTCAAATCTGTAAGCTAAGTAGCTACCATTTATTTTTCACTGATCTATTAAGCTCCATCACTACTGAATCCATCTACTATACATATACATGAGATACTAATTATTAGCTGAATCATAGTGGTTAATTTCATGGATTCATCAGCTGATTTGAAGGCAACGGTATCAGAAGCACATCCCGAGACAATGGACTTCCTTTCCCGCGCTTGGTGTAACTTAGCAGTTGAAGCTTTCCAACCGGCAGAATTACAAGATTCATCACTCCTCCGTCTCCATCATAACCTCATCATTACCAAATTTGACAAGCATCACACCAAATCTCCTCTCCCGGTCAGTGCTTGCTTCATTCAATCTTCTTCTATACACACCTCTAAATTCGACAAACATCACGGAGTACTTTTTTTTTTTTTCTCCCTTCCAGAATATCATGGACAACACCGTAAAGATGGGTGATGCAGATAGGTCTATACCCCCGTGGAAATCCAACGATGTTAAGGTAACAACTTACGGAGTACTATATATATAATTCTAGCTTTTAGGCCTAATATTCTTGACATTAATATATGTTATTACTTCAAATTTCTCGTTCTCTCTCCTTTGTTTTTTTTTTTTTTTTTTCCTTCAGTCATGGATTTGGATGCAACAAGCAATGCATCCCGAATTAAACTACAATACCTGCTTCCGAAAGAAATGGGTATGTTACACAGACATATATTTATATTTATATATTAATTGGTATGTAACTTTAGATATAGAGTTGAGAAACTAAATAATGTGTAATTCACATGCATGCATGCAGCTGCCATGGAAGACAGTTTCATTTAGGCATATGATGTCAATCAAGAAATGGTTGAAGGAGATGAAACAGAAGAGGAAAGAAGATGAGAGGCTGAAAAGAGCTGAAGTGCACGCAGCAATATCTGTGGCAGGTGTTGCGGCTGCACTAGCTGCCATAGCGGCTGAAAACTCCTCCTCATCCTCCAAACTAGTATTGGACGATTCCACCACCAAGGAATCCACGGTGGCTTCCGCTGCAGCTTTGGTAGCAGCCCAGTGTGCACAAGTGGCCGAGGCTCTGGGGGCCAAGAAGGAACAGCTAAGCACTGTAATAGGTTCGGCCATGAGCTGCACAACTGCTGGTGATATCTTAACACTTACCGCCGCAGCAGCAACATGTAATCACTAACCTTTCTCCCTACTTAATTACTTGGTAAACAATATCTCTCTCCTTACATATAAAAAGTAATCTTAATTTAGATTTGGTATAGTTTGATATAACTTATAAGTAAAATGGTAGTTATTTTTATTAATTTTTTTTAATATTAAAAAATGACATGTATTCAAATGATATCATCAAGCATAAAGAGGAGGTTTCTCTAAGGAGGAAAGTATTGTTAATTAGCTAAATCACATGCAGTGTATTATTGATGAGCTTAGGCTAAATGCCATTTGAACTCATACTCTCACAGTTTACGACTATCCGGACAAAATGATCCCTCGTTTGTTGGGTACGTGGATGATGCTATGCTAGGGAAGAATGCTAGCTATGATTGGAAATTAAAGTAGTTGTTCCAAAACTTATTTGTTGATTTTTTATGGCATTTAATTTCTAACTTAATGGCCATAATGAGGCTATGAATAGCATCTTTTTTTTACCTACCAATATTAATGAAAATTTAGAGACCAATTTTATAAAAAAAAATATATACTCCCTAATTAGTAAATAAATTGAGAGATCAACCTGGCACCACCTACCACTCCTCTACCTCCCAAAATATAGATGGTGAGGATTCCGGATCCTCGTAAGATCAAATAAGTGCTTGAATTTCTTGCCTAATGACATTAACAATTCAAAAATAGTAATTATTATTTTCACTGAATGCTAATATATTGGGATTCTTGTTTATGCTGTTAACTATAGCATTAAGAGGAGCTGCTACACTTAAAGCAAGATCAGGATGCAACAATAGGTTGATTAATGGCAGCGTGCCGGTGCTTCCCATACAGGACAATGATCATTTTGACTTCAATTTTGACAAGTGTAGATCAATTCTTGCCAAGGGCACCGAACTAAGCATCCAAACCTCCGATAATGGTACGTACGTTTTCATCTATAAGGTCATATACATTCATTTTTATTTTTTAACTTTAACATTCAGGTTGTTTTCATTTGTTTAATTTTTATTTATTCATTCATTTTGGAACAGGAAGGTGCATGTTGAGGTCAGTGTCTGTAACCCTAACCAGGGAAGCCAAGGTATGAATCTGAATATATACAAGTCTTTGCTTTTATCTACAACAGAAAATTACTACCAAAATACTTATGTTTACATTTGTACTGTGTTGTGCTCATTTAATTTAAGTTTTATCATGAATAATTTTTTAATTCTGGTAGTGTGTGAATAGTGAAGACTGAAGAAGATAAATAAACAGAGTTAACATGGGCCAATTGGATGTACAATAGCCTTATTTCTGGCCCAAACTCAAACCTAACCTTCAATCCTTGTTACAACTTACAACTTTACAGGTTATTCTCAAAATAAGGAAGCTCAACTTACTGAATGCATTTGCAAGAAATAAGGAAAGTATGTCCTTCTTTAATACACACACACACACACACATATACACACACAACATATGATTGAACAACATTATGTTAATTATGATTAAGGAATTCTTAGTAGAGGGTTGAGAAAATGAATTTGGTATTAAAGTTGATGGAGTTGATTCAGGCACTGTTCTGGACCTGCACGCGGAGCTGTATAAGGAGGAGGATTCACAAGGAGAAGAAAGTGAGGAGGACACATGCTATCTTATTGTTCTAACCACAAATGGAGGGATGATAAAGCTAGACATGGGGGACGATTATCGGCGTTACAAGTTATGGGCCACCACCATTAATCAAATGCTCATGCTTTCCACCTCATTTACAAGCTATCATCATCAACAACTTCAGTTTTTCAATACTTAAAATCCATCACTCTGCACCTTTTTTTATGCATGTATTGCTGCTTATCTCTTCTTTGCTCATTTAATTATGCATGCCTCATTGTATTCAACATACCTATTTAATACGTTTATATTTTTTTGATAAATTTTTAGTCATATATGTATCATTGTGACTTGCAATGTATAAGTTATTCTTTAAATAAAACTTCTTAGTTGCTGAAACCAATTTGATCCCAATCATATCAATATTTTGTTTTGTATAGACATATTTATTTGTCAAGGTTAAAATTAGCTTCCATATATCAAGATAACTGCTCTGAAGATAACATGTAGCCAAAAGCTTGCTTTACATTCTAATGAGAATGATATTATATGAGTTTTAAACACAAACAAACAAACAAAATATGCAGCCAGATTTACCTAGTACGACATACAAAGGTTAGTACTACTATCAAAAGTCGTAAGTGTGAGGGAGACCAAACCATAAAAGAATCCTTCTGGGCCGATCTAGAAACCTGGCTTGCCATGCTGGTTCATCATTTTCATAAATGAATCCACTTTTCATGTATAAATTCTTTGCTGGTTCATTGTTCACCGCAACATGCACATACAAATCGCTTATTCCTGGCAAAGTTTCAAAGATACAAGCTATGTCAATCAAACTGAAGAGAATGCAGCTAAATGAAAGCATAAATCCATTTGATGCATTTGGGTGAGGAAAAAGAATATCCAAAAATACTAAAAGCGCTACAATCAAGACACAGCATATATATACAGGAACATGGCCAAGAGAAACTAGGATAAAACTTGGTCTATATTTGAGAAATCACGTCCATTCTTAAACTAGCCATCAAAATAATGACCTCAACGATTTATGCTCATCGATGAGTTTGGAATCTCCTTCCTTCATCCTTGGTTAACGTGATGAAGGGGTGGGGAAGAGTTGGTATGGGACTTAGGTTCGAATCTTGCCTCACAAAAATTAAAACAGAAAAACTAAGTTTGAAATTGAAACCACGCCAAGATATTGATTAAATATTTTTCTAGAGCTATAAGGGATTCCCTATATATACATGGAAACACCTCTAATACTTGTGCATCATATAAGTCCAGAATAAGAATCAAACTCAGACCTCTAAGCCGAGGCTCTCACCAACTCGGCTACACCATACGGGTTGATTTAGACATGTTAAGCTAACTAGAAGTCGCAGAACTATTATTTTTCTTTGAACTATTATTCAACCACACAAACATGCCAATAAACTTTGTGATGTCATTGAACTATGCAGTTACATGAGTGTTGAAAGGCTTCCATGCATCCAGCCACTTTAGTTTTCTTGCAAAAAGATGACATATAAGTTTTTCACTACAGTAATGCAGGGAATCAATCACTCAAGTTTTTTTTTTTGTTTTTTTTCGGATACGAGGAATCCTTTCAACCACCGGCCCTTTGGACTTTATGGCTGCAAGGTAAACCTCGAATATGTGCAATCACCCGCAAACCACACAACATATCATTTAAACCTGGGTATTTTTGTGCTTAGTGAGAGTTGAACTCAGGACGCCCTAGTTTACGGCTTGCCCCTTGATCGAGACCCCTTAACCACTAGGCCACCCGTGCGGTAATCACTCAAAATTTAACAACAAAACAAAATGTCACATTTTGCAAGTATAAATTTTATAAGGTGAAAGGGCTTTAATTTGTCCAATGTCCATTCCTTTTTTCCTTTTTTTCTCCTTTAATTGCTTTCTAACACAAGCTATCCCGTTGTGGAATGGTAAAAATGAGAAGTAAAGCATCAAAGAAGGAACACACATCAAGATGGTCTGCCATTAAAATTTCACTTAAGCAGGAAACATGAGGTGGGGCCAATTAAAGGGGATCTGATGATCTCTGTGACGATCATTAAGAACCTGATTTATTTCATTTTATGACAATAACCAAACTAAAATTACTGATATATCACATCAATTGTCGCCAGATATCTCATTGGCCGCAATTGCAATGAAAAATCTAATTGATTAATGTAGATAGTTTATAACAATGGATTCATATCAAAAACATAAGTTTGTGTGTGTGTTGGGGGGGGGGGGGGCACTATTTTATAGGTATATATATCAAAATTCTAAAAATATTAGGGTATAATACTAAAAAAAAAATTATCAGTGGGGCCAATTGCCCCCACTAGGCACACAATAGATCCATGCATGGTTGCATATATAGTCAACCCTTGTTAACATGGGGTTTCCTGATCCTCAACCAATCCTCAATATTAGATAGAGGTTGTCGATCAGTATATGTTGGGGTTGAGCTTGAGCTTGAATCCAGTGGTAATCCAAGTTGCATTCCCGGTTCAAAAATTTAGTATGAGGCTGTAATTATTATATCAGTAATCATGATTCTAAATCAAAGTCATTTAATACTGCATTTCTACAAATTACAATTTGTGTGTATTTATGGTGACATTATGAGGGAGAGGAGTGCAAGTACAAAATAGAGGAGCATCGGTAAAGATGCACACATGGTATACATAAGTGACAACATATAAGTAAATACAAGTAGAAAAGTGTCTTAGAAGTAGTTACCCCAATTTTCAGCAACCATCTTTGACTTTGCAACAAGTGCATAACCCAACCCATTCCTGTGCAGTTCCTTGGCGACACAAACGTTGCTCAAGTATGCCCTGGCAAAATCAGCTCCAATTCCCTGTTGAGGCGAACTCCTAAGATAATGCCATACTGGAATTATATGATTACAAAAGCCTTCACAGGATCATGTTTGTAAGCAATCGAAAAAATGCAAGGTTCAACAACTATTACCATTAGAATAAAACAAGTACACAGTCACAACATAGCATAAGAAACCTACACATAGTCAATATAGCTCATATATTATGTTTTATTTTCTTCAATATGGATAGATTTATATGACCATGAGTCAACTAATACCTCATTTGGTCTTCCAATTTTTTTTGTTACATCATCAATGCAGAACTAAGTACAGAAAAGGTAGTTAGAACCTAAAAAAAAAAAAAACCACTCTCACACTCGTATCACAATTTTTTCCTCCATTATGACAAGAATACCCACTTCCTAGAGACGATTCCCATATGTTTAAATGGGGAATTTGCTTAATTTGGTTCAAAATGGTGTCCCTACTGAAAGATATTTTAATGTTCACAATTATGTCTTCACCCTCAAGTATTGAGTTCTATTATCAACAAAAAGTTGTCTATGTACTTTGTAAATACAAGCTATTATCTAGTACTGGTTTCAGTTATGCAGGGTTTTGGGAGGAGAAAATTGGAGAGGACGTTTGACATTTTTGCACAAAATGAATGTTTTCAAACTTAACCCACAATATCATGTAAACACGTAATGTGGGAGTATATGTCATACAAGCTCTGATATTTCAATCTTGTTGCTTATTTCTTAATCTTCAAGTAGCATGTTATTGAAGACAAATGTACAAATCTTTCATAAATTCCATGTACAGTTTCAAGGTGATTAAAGGATAAAATTATGAGAAAGGATAATAGAACAAAAATTGAAGAAGGAATGTAAAGTGTCCAATAATCAATTTGAATTTTACAGAAACATATACCAAGTAAAGTAAAAGGTTTGCACATGATTTTCATAAACCTAAAGATGACAAATGATAGGTATTCATTGGAGATCTGATCACATCCTCTGTGTTTGGATGACAGAGGATGCCTCTTTCTGAGAATAAAAGCAGAAGCCAAAAACTAGAAGAGGTATTCAATTCATAAATAAATCTACACCAGTCATGCTATTGTAATATGCATTCAAGATTCAGAGTCTTAACATTTACATGCAGTGAACACACTGTTTTTTTTTTTTTACCAAATTAGTGAACCTACATGCAGAAACACTAAAAAGTTATAATAAGGTCCAATCAATACCTTTGGCTTCATTCCTATTATTTCATCTGGAAGCCTTAGGCACTGGTTAAGATCAAGGGTCCCAACTACCACTCGATCTTCTCCGTTGTCCGAAAACTAGAGAAGACATAAAAGAAAAAGGAAGTTGGATAAGTAGCCGCTAATGAATAAATCATATACACTTATGTACATACACATATATTCACATACTCATTGCCTAATCAAAATGTTAGTGACGTGAATTCCACGTACTGGAACCAGATCAGAAAATAAGAAGAGTGGTAGAACTATGATCCTAGGAGGTAGATTTACGACAAATATGAGAAGTCTGAATATAAAGTACATAAAAAGCGCCAATAGGGACACCATGGAAACTCAAAATAGCAGTCAAGTTGGACAGAACGGAAACAATGGTACCTTACATTCACTGCATAGATCATCTGAAATGGTTGCAATTTGTGATAATGGAACAGTAGCATTGATGCAAGAAACTCTTCTGAAGCCCTCCCTCTTCCCTGCAACACGTTCTTTTAGTGCTTCAAACTCACGCTCGGCCAAGTACCTTTTATGATCCTAATAGAACTTGACAAGGAGAAAACACCATCGGTTTCATATTAAAGAAATTGAACGAAAGTTGGCAGTGTAGACCAGGCCACTAGGCATTGACGAGGGTAATCATATCACACATTATCATTTATGAAGTAATATCAAATGGTAAAAGATGCACCTGAAATTGATTAAAAATAATAATAATAATAATAATATAATAAAATAAAAAACAGTTATTGTAGAAGGAGAAAAAACAAAGTTTTATAGAAGATGGATGATAATGGAAGAATTTACAGCACTGCAAATTATGTAGTCCAACATAAGAAAATAGGATATCAAAGAATAATTTAACGAATAATTATGATCATTTCTCTCCAACCCGTTTATTAGAAACATCGTCCCGAGTATCAATCTAGCACCGTAAACAATTGATGATGCCTTAACTACTGCAGTACTAATTTGCTTGTTTTGATAAATTAATATAAGAATTAATCACAATATGAATTATAGACTAGATACAAAACAGGGATACATTATTGAAATTCGTTAAACCAACTAATGAATTGAATGGAATTGAATAGAATAGAATTGAATAGGGAAAAGTAGTGAACTCACTTCTTTGGCGAAAGTATGCTGAAAATCATGGAAAGAGCTAACGCGAAGACAGGCAGTGGCCCAGAGCTGGTCCTCAGAGACAGCTTCGGCGAGATTGAAAGCAGATTTGTCTATGGTCAAGGTTTCCTGCGTGCACAGATGCGAAGCAACGGTGATCGGACGCCGATGAGCTGGAAAGGCGACGGAGAAGAGTGAAGTAGGGTTACAGAAGCTGGAAATAAATCTACAATCCAATGAATTGGCAGACGGCGGCGCCGTTGAATATGCGACCACTGCCATCATCTCTTTCTTTCTCCTTATCCTCCACACACAAAATACAGACTATTGAGTACCCCATCTAATGTAATCTTATTATAAAATCAATTGGAATATTCCCATTCACAGATAAAACAAGAGATGCATGGTTTGACTCCTTTCCAACGCTCCTTATTGTGTAAAATATGGGAAGTTGATTTCGCAATCACTCCACTTTTTGCACTGCCCTTTATTTATTTATTTATTTATTTATAAAGAAAATTATAAGAATGAACTTGAATTTATTAATACATTTTTTTTTATTTTATAATATCATAATTATTTTTTATACAATTTTAATCTTCTTTTTTTAATTTACTTTTTTTTTTTTTTTCTTATGTTACTATACTTTCTTTTCTTAACTTTTTTTTTGGAGGTCTGAAAATAATTTATTTTATTATGATAATTTTATTTTTGACAGTTAAAACAGATAATTTATTCAATAATAACCTTTTTTTTTTTTTTTTGGTAAAATCGAAAACAAATAACTTATTCAACAAAGATAATTTTTTTTGGTAATTTTTTATGAGTCTTGTTAAAAGAAATAATTTTTCAATAAAAATAACTTTTTTTAATTATTTTTCTTTTTGGGTCTTGTAAATATATATATATATATATATATATATATATATTAATTTATTTTTTTTTTTCTTGTTAAGAGAAGCCTATAATATTAAAAAAGGTAAAGTGCAAAAAACTCCCCTAAATTATGAGGCAATTGCACAAAACCCCCCTAAATTAACAAATGCCCCCCTGAACTATTAAAAAGTTGCATTTAAGGACAACAAGCAAGTCTCCGGCACCGGAAAAATAAGATTACAAAATTACCCTGGTGAAACGACAGCGTTTTGGAGCTATATTATATACTCAGTATATATATATATATATATTACAACACCGCCGCCGCCGCCGGCGGGGCAAGGGCAGGGGTCGCCGCTGCCGCAGCCTCCCTTACCGCCGTCGCCGTAGCTACCCACACCACTCTGATCGGATCTCTCAGGGGAGAGATGAGAGAGAACGGATAGGGGAGAGATGAAAGAGAAAGGGGCTTGGGTTGTGGATGAGAAAAAAATGGGGCGTGTACATATAAATGTATCAATCTTAGCAAAATCTAGGTTTAAGGGATAGGCCGTGGACTTGGTGGTGGGTTTAAGAGGCGATGATTGTGTGGGTGGTGGCGGCGATTGATGATTGGGATTGTGTGGGTGGTGCCGACGGCGGCGATTGGCGATTGGCGATGGCTAGGATTATAATAAACCTTCCTGCTGCAACAACCACGTCCCGCAGGTCTTCGAAACACCATCCGTGGACTTGGTGGTGGGTTTGAGAGGCGATGATTGTGTGGGTGGCAGCGGTGATTGATGATTGGGATTGTGTGGGTGGTACCGACAGCGGCGATTGGCGATTGGCGATGGCTGGGATTATAATAAACCTTCCTGCTGCAACAACCACGTCCGACAGGTCTTCAAAACACCACCGCAATTTTCTCACAGCTATTGCCATCACCATTCACCATATTGGCCGAGGTTTAGGGTTAGAGACACCGGAGATAGAGACGCGCGCTGCCGGAAAGTTCGTAACGGTGCGGTGGCGGTGGCGGCAGGTTCACAACGGCGATAAGGTCGCGACGACAATATTGAAAGAGAGAGAAAGTGGTTGAGGACGCGGCGGCAAGTGAATTAGCGGCATTGCGCAGAGAGAGAGGAGGGGGAAACCAAAATGGGTTACCAGAACGGATTTACGGTTTTAATTTAGTTTTTTTTTTTCATTTTTTTTTTATACATTTAATAGTGTAATGGTAGCTTTGTCATTTTAAAAATATATTCCTATATGTGTTCATCACGCACCTAATTGGCTGGACAAATCAAACGGATCTTCACCGGTGTGTTATTTTTGCAAAAAAATTGATAGTTGGGGGGGTTAATTGTACAAAAAATAGTTTAGGGGGGTTTTTAAGAGAAAGAGAGTAAAGTCCAGGGGGTTATTTGCACTTTACCCTATTAAAAATTAAAGATAATGAGAAAAAACACGGAAGAACAATTGTATCATTTAAAAGGTAATAATAATCATTTATTTATAAAGTTAATGTTAGAATTGTAATTTTATTTAATATTTTAGTGCACTGTAATATCTTATAGTGATATTATTATTATTATTAGGGTAAAGTGCATTAAAACTGTAATACCCCTAATTTTAAAAAGATATTCCTGGTATTTAATGGTATTTAATTTATTATTTAAGTTTTATTTGATTATGTGTCATTATTTTTTTTATTAGGTGCTTAATTGTTTTCTTTTATGGTGATTTAATTTATTTTAATGATATTTATTTTTAGTTATTTGATTGGAATTACTTGTTAGTGTTTTAATTATTTAATTGGCATTAATGGTTTAAGTGTAATTGGTTTAATTATTCTATGTGTGTCTTATTTTATGTGTGTCTTATTTGGTTTAATTGGGTTTACTAATTATTATTTTATTCAATTAGATTATTTGTTAAGTATTTAATAGGGAATAGGGTAATTAGGTAAATACATCTAACTAGGGTTTTAATTACAGTATAAATTAGGGTTTTATATTATAGCCGTCGTAGGTTTCTACGTTAATTGGATGGGCCGGTTAGGATTGTGAGTTGGACTTAAATGAACCTAGGGTTTAGGAAAACTCTATAAGTATAAGGTAGACGTCTGTGTAGGGTTTTTTTAAACAAAGCACACGTTTTGTGGAAGTGGAGAAGGAAAAACGTAGTTTTTCACATTCTGCCAAGGTTTGATCAAAGCTCCGATCCCGCTTCGTCCGTCGTCCGATCGAGCTGAATTTTGGAGGAGAGGTTCACGACTCAGTGACGCACAATCTGAATGGTGGAGATCAGAGTTTGACCTCGGGAACAGTGATTCGTACTCGTGAACAGTAATTGGGTCGCACAGGTTTTTTCTATTCTGCCCAGATTTCATCAAACATCCGATCCCGCTTCGTCCGTGGTCCGATCGAGCTGAAATTTGGAGGATAGGTTCACGACTCAGTGTCGCACAATCTGAACGGTGGAGATCAGATTTTGAGTTCGGGAATAGTGTTTCGTACCCATAAACAGTAACTGGGTTTTGGAACTCGCCGGGATTTTTTAAGAAGACGACGTTGAAACTTTGAACAAAAGTTTCTGAGGCAAGATTCTATCCTTACTCTTTCCCTTAGGCTTCATACTCTTTGCACTCTTAAATGATTCCAGGATTAATGAAGATTAAACCAAACTAAAATGATATCTGTTTTGCTATGAAACTGGTAGTTACAGTAGTGTCGTATGCTTGTTCAACCTAGACTAAGCATGTTTGTGGATACATTGTGGTTCTGTGGTTCACGTTTTTCCTTACCACTGCTAGTATAAATTATTGGAAGGATGGGTTTAGATGATAGCTATCTTAACTTCTGTAATAGCAACTGTTGAAACTTAAATACTAGGTTGATTTGAGTTTAACACTAGATCGGTTTTGTGGAACACTATAATTTGAGCATGTCTACATACATACTGTGAATATTGTTTTGATGCTTACATTATCACAGTTAGTATCAACTGTGGAGGTTAGGATTTTGTGATACATACCCTACATATCTGTATGTCATTTGTAAGGTGTTAAATGGAAGTTTTAATTAATTCTGTCTTTATATCAAACTAAAGGGAACAACTTAAATTGGGCATGTATATGTTGTTGTTGTGACCCTGTTTATCAATGCTTATTTTATCACTGCTAACATTGAATGTTGGATGTTGGAATTTAGTTGATATATACTTGATTTATTGGTATTATTGACTACTGAAGGATTGGAAAGTAGGCACCGGTATGGGACGGTGGCATACTAAGGATGGTTTTGGTTTTTAAAATAATATCATTACCCACCTACTTGGAATAAGGATGGGATTAACTAAAAATTAAGTCCCGTGGATTTGTATTGTCATGGCAACTACTTGTTGAGCGGCAATACCAGGGATTTTGGATGGATTTTATATATGTACTGTTATGGTGCCTCGGTATGAGCTTGAGCCTCGGGACCGATGGCTAGGGAGCGTATATGCATTGGGATGTGTAGTTGGCTACGATGATTGGAGGTGTACCCTGTTTAGGTATAGGTACATATGCCCACTTCGTGTGCGTTTTAGTATGATACCTCTATTCAGGTTGAGACTGGCCTGTAGTCTAGTGAGAGTCCTCTAGTGTGACTATATATATATTTACGGACTATTAGCTATTGTTGAATTGTTTAGGATGTACATGCGTATCGGGCCTCTGTTTGGATTGTAGTAGTATAGAACTTGCGCGTGGGCCTGACCCACTTTTATTTTTCAGGTACACCACAGTTCCAGGCTTAGACGTGTTCGTGCTGAGTAGAGGTCTCTATTCACTCTTCCGACGATGTAAGGCTCTCTCTATAGTTTTATTTCTGGACGTTTATTACAGTTGTTCTATCTTCCGTTTGGATGTTTAATAGAGGTCCACTAGAGATGGATTCCCAAGTTATAAACTGATGGAGTTTTGGAGTTTGGGTTTGATGGATTTTAATAATTATAATATTTTGCGGATTCTATTTTTAGTTCCTTCCAGCTTTAATTTCATTTCTTAATTTGTTTTGTATTCCGTGTTCATTATAAAATATTAATTGTTTGGGTTTGGGTCTGGGCCTGATCAACCAGTGTCTCGGATCCGAGGGGTATCACAGTTGGTATCAGAGCACTCCAAGTTCAAGTGTCTCTAAGATGTTTTCGTATTAAGTCTTCCGCGTAGCGTTTTCTCTTGAATAGAGCTTAAGTTAGGATTCATTGTATTCCTTATGGTTCGTATAGAAAGGGTACTGACGTCTGTCTTTTCATGTTAACAGATCGTTAACGCTAAAAATGGACAGAACATGCAAGGAACTAGGAAGAAAATGAGAACGGCACGTAGGCAACAATATCTCCTACGGCGTCAGCAAATGGAGGAAGAGCAGTAAAGGCTTGGGTTTCATGATGACATGGATCAGTTTCAGGAGGAACAGGAGAATGTTCAACAGACTCTGGGCCAGGT